TGGAGTTCACAGCTTGCAATGAGGATTGAAATTAAACTTAGAAAATCCTCCTGAAAAAATCCCATTTAAACGGGTGTGTACTGTCAATGTCTGAATTGAGCTTAAATTAAACAATACTGTCCAATGAAGTGGTTCCATTCCTGGGTTCAATTTCCAGAGAAACAACATTAAGAAAAGATTTTCTCAGTTGTGGTTTTATAATATATATATATATAATTAAAATAATACAAATATATCAAATGACAAAAAAATTAGTTAATTCAACTCAAGACAACCTTGATGAGTACAAATCAAGTTCAAGCCAAGATTTGAAAGGACATTTTTTTCATAGACTTTACTAAATATTCAGGGAAACGTTGCCGAAGTTACTGCCGTCAGTCTGCACCTATTTTTCCTCTTCCTGATAATCCAATGCTGTTTCATGATAACAATCATCAAACTTTTCTTCTCCTCCCTACATGTATACAAACACACACACATTACCGCCAACCTTTAAGAAAACAACAACAGAGAAGCGTAAAAACAGCCCTCTCTTCCTGACACAGTCGTTCCACCTGCTGTACAGGCGTTCCTCATTCACACAACAAATCTCCCATACAGCAAAAATCAATAGGCAGAGCAACACACTATTGATCATATCTATATCTTGGATACACTCTGATGTCACACTCCACTAGCTTTGTGTGTGTGTGTGTGTGTGTGAGAACGTTATTGTCTGTCGGCGTGTGTGTGTGTTTAAGAGAAAGTCAGAGCATTATCTGTTATTATGACAACTACAAAAACATTTGTAACAGAGAAAGTCAGAGCATTATCTGTTATTATCTGCATTATCATCTATTATGACAAGTACAAAAACATTTGTAACAATCCAATGTATAATGGGCAACTACATATATATATATATATACAGTATATGTATACATATATATTTCAGTTGGAGTGTGAAATGGGGGTAATTCGACTTGTAAATCTGTAATGACTGTCTAGTGTTAAATCTAATGACCACTCTCCACACTGTTGACTTCAGTAAAAGTCAAAACACTGTTGTCATCACTGCCGGTGACAAAAAAGACCTTAATGCAATATAAATGAAACATGTCTGATAAATCCTCTCATTGATTTTCCTATATTTTCCGTGTAATGACAAAGCACAGGGGTGCCCTCCACTGGTAGAAAGCGACATAACAGATTTGTTTTAAATGTATTTATTTATTTATTAGACAAAATAAGAAGGTGTTTTGGACAAACGTAGATTCTAGAAAGTCACTAAAACAAACGGAGGACACTTTTGACTCAGAACAACTTTCAGAGGACAACAGTTAACGGCAGGTTTTTTCTTCTTCTCTGTGACTCCCTAACTTCCTTCACCTCTCTGTCCTCCTTGTGTCTCCCTCTTCTCCCCCGCCTCCCCCTCATCCTCCCCTCCCTCTGCACCTCTGTCTGCCCGTGCAGCTCTAAGTTATTGATAGTTTAAAGTTATGGGCTAATAATAAGATGGACACTGCATGGCCAGGAGCCTATTATACCCAGGTAATGGATAGCGTGCGAGTTTTGAATGGCATTGCCTAGAGATTGGATGACAGAGAGTGGAGCGATTTATAGGTAAGGAAAACAGCAACCCCCCCTCCTATTCACTCCAACACACACACACACACACACTCGTTTGTCAAATGTGCACGCGCACACAAACACACCGTGTTCTGTGTGCTATTTATCTCCGGCTTGATAAGGAAGCAGATGAGGCATGCCAGTATTTATGGTGAAGATGATGTTCATAAAACTGGAGGCTCAGAGGAGGAAGTTTGAAAAGACTCTGGGGACCAAATATCTGCTACTCAGGGCTGTGTATGCACTCACTGGTGTTATATGACGCAAGTAGAGAAATGCAGCTGATCACATTGGAAGAAATAAAATAAAATAATATATATATTTTTTTTTACTAATGGCCTTTGAGGGGATATAAAAGTACATTTAGAGTGAAACGTGACGTGATTCTGATGAGAAATACAAGACACTCTGACGAAAGAAGCTCAAAGATTATTGACAGTAATATGTGAAAGAAAATATTACAACCTTGACTGAATGTGAACTTAGTCGTGTAACTATGTTAATTATATTCTATGGGCTTAAATAAAAGTATGAAAATGACAACAGACTGCAACACTGAGGTGAAAACCTCTGTGGCTCCACTCTTTTCAGCAAAAACACATTGAACTTAAAAAAATGTGTCCGCGCTAGAAGTGCTAAAGAATCCAGACATTTGTGTCCGCGCTAGATTTAAAGTGCTAAAGAATCCAGACAAGCTAGATGTGACTTAAACAAAAATAAAAATAAAAATAAATATGAAGTATGCCTGTTTACTGAGGGCAGTTCTTTAAGTATATATGGATTCCAGGGCTTTCGTTTTAATGGCCTGCACTGGGAGAAATAAGAGCAGCAGCAGCAGAGACACTTCAGACGGGGTTGTTGGGATGGAAGAGGAAGAGGAAGAGCAGAGAGGGCATCAGGGAGTGCAATGAAAAAGGTTTGTCAACATTATCTGTTTTATTGATTTAACAGTAAAGGCTTTCCGCTTAAGCTTTATGTAGCGTTGGCTGTCCCCAATGAAAATACAACGGCTGCAAATAAAAAACGATTTCTTAAAAAACTTGAGCATTTTTATTGATTTATTTTTTTGTATTTTCACCCCTGCCCGTGCCGCCGCTTAGATTCTGCATTCGTTGTTGCTAAAGTTGCACATATTTCATCATCTTTATGAGTAGCCATTAAGGTGGAACTGTGTTCCACTGTTCTGCCCTCCCACCCTCCCACCCCCCAGGGGATCAATGGTACTGAAGAGGACAAGACCGTCTCCTAAACGATAACAATGATCTATTCCACTGCAGACTCCGGTAGTGAACATATTCAGAGACATCGGTGGAGAGACATCATCAGACTCCGGTAGTGAACATATTCAGAGAGACATCGGATAAAAGTGGAAACATTCGACTGGTGCGTCAACACATTCAGCCACAACAACAGACTCAGAAAAACACCGGAATTAAGAAAAAAGATCTGTGATATTAAGGTTTAATCATCTCAAAATTTTAATAAAACAAAAATATTTTTAGGAATGATTCTGTACGTTTCACTTCCTCAGAATGACTGAATGTTTTTGTTTACACCAGTGTCAGCCCTGTTGGATCACTGTGTTCTTTTGTTAGTGCTGAGGAGACAAACTAAACAACTTCTGTGTTTCAATAACAACCGAAGGTTAACAGATGTTCTCCAGTGTGAATAGACAAGAATGTGGAACTATAAAATCACTGTGTGTTGATTTAGAGAGGAAAAAAAGGTTTTTTTTTCTAATGTATCTCATTAAAAGTCAAATATTTACCACTGCACATCACTTTTATATTTCAGAAAAAAATATACAACGCTAGTTTTCTTTGTATGAGGAGTCCTGTTATAAATCAATTTTGTTCATTTGAGTTAACATTCAAACCTAATAGTAATGTCTGAGATTTTTCCAGAAGAGCAACACCACTCCCACTTGCGAGTTACCCCCATTAAGTATCACTACGCCCCCTGTAGACCTGAGAGCAGTAAGGTCAAGAGAGTGTGTCATTGAAGCAGCTTGAAGCTCTGCAGGGTTCCGATTCCTGCAGCTTTTTTTGTGCAGCTCAATTATGTCAGAGCAGCTGCTCTCCACCAGGAGTTCTTTACTTCTACACAGAAAAACAGTCGCGCAAACCATCCGAAGACTGCCAGTGTAAAATGTATGGTAAACAAGGTAATGCGCAATTGTGCTCGGCATTTAAAATACCATCTCAGCGTCAAGAACGCCTGAGTGCAGGACATTGAGTTCGTCTACGGCTGAAAAACTCTTTGTTCAAGTTTGAAAACCAGTCTCTCCAAAAAGCCACTGTCAAGATGAACAGAAACGACTAAAATCCACCAACTCTAAGAAGCCTCATTTTGAATAATACGTTGCGTTTTTTCTTGATTTTTTTTTCATATTTTTAATTCCCGCCACTGAATTATTTATAATTTTTTGACAGATTTAGGAAGGCTGAATTATCTCAAATAATCCTGATTAATCGTGGTTAACCACATATACACTGTGATTAATCTGATTTAAAAAATTGTTTGAATGCCCTACTCTAACATAAAAAACTTCTCTTCTGTATTGTTACCCCACAACTACTCTAACATAAAAAACTTCTCTTCTTCTGTATTGTTACCCCACAGTGTGGCAAGAAAATTATATACAGTCAGAGTCCAATAGAAGAAAAATAATTCATCAGGTCAAAGTGGTAAATATAATAAGACGTCAAGGGAAGAAAAAAACAACAGACGGGCCTCACTCAACAATTAGACCGCAGGTGAAAACCTCTATTGATTTCCTCGTTAGAAACAACAGTTCAATTAAAGAAACATCTGATTAAAAGACAGTTACGAATCACTAAGGTGGATCCCGACCCGCTGGGGAAGCTGGGTAATTTGGGGCTGCCTGCTGCAGAAAGAATTGCATGTGTGCATCTTTGTTCTCTGTCTAATCAGTGCAGATCAGTGGGAAACGAGGCTCTGCAGTTTCTTCTTCTTTTAATCTTAAGTAAATGAAAAAACAAATCCCAAAATCGTGGCCAAGACAACGATCGACTGGGAACATTCCCTCAGAATGTGACAGAAAAAAAGCTGCTGGATTTCAGCACTAATCCATAAAACTACTGTTTATTATCCTTTATGAAATAATAAACCACACAAAAATAAAACCCTTGATATTAACATTATAAAATTAAGAAACAATGTCAGAAAATTTGGAGATTTCGTATTTAAATCAGTTGGTTTTACTTTATGAAATTATTGTTTCTGCAACAGTGACAATAAATGCTGCTCTATTTTATTATGTTCTATTATATTAGTATACTTATAATAATATACAGACAAGAGAGCAATTTAGAGACCTTTAGTGATGCAATGCTTTGTATGTGTGTGTGTATGTGTGTGTGTGTGTGTACCTGTAGTGAGTTGAGGAGGATGAAGATATAGGCCATGACAATAGAGAAAGGCACCAGGACACCACACAGCCAAGTCAATCCAAGAATGGGCAGCAACACCAACACTGCCTTCACTGCAGCCCTGGACTCACACAGACACACACAAAATTCAATTCAATTCAATTACAACACATAAATATATCACTTGTACAAACAGAAAATAATCTGGTTGTTGAGGAGACCTGAGCTGAAGTTGAACAACACTGAAGTAAAAAAACAATATAACTGCTCCTTTAATTAAAGAAAACAAAAAATCAACTTCTGTCGTTCTCTACCTTTCAGCTATTTTTTTTTTTTGGAGAAAGCTCAGCTCCTTCAGCCGTCTGGCTGCTCTGTATACACCTCTGTGTAACTGCAAAGGATCATGGGGTGACAACTTCCCACCTTAAATCCACCTTAATTCTGTTTAGAGTGGAATTAGCTGCCCACTCAGGTGACGGCCAAACCGCAGCAGCTGTGTGTGCGTGTGTGTGTGTTCACTAGTGTGTGTGTGACACGGCGGGCGGCGTGCCCCGGTTTACACAGCGCAGGAATGTGTTTGAATTTCCAAGACGGCTGCCACCCAAGGGTGCCAAACGGTTCAAGGCCTGCTTTGAAGACCTTCATAGAGCCCCCACTGTGAGCCCGTGGTGGGCCCACACCATTAGAAGGAGTCTACACTTACACATAATCTTTACTGAACATATACAAATTTGACAAGATTGTACACAGCAAGGTTTGACTTGGGTGAAATCACTGCAGAGAACCACAGAGGTAAAATAATAATAATAATTGTAAATCATTTTTTAAAAGTTGTTTATTTTCCAGATTTGATTAAATTTATGTTATGAATAAATAGAAGTGCTGTTTTATTTACATTCATTCACGTGGGATGCAGTTTTTACTTCATAAGAAAATTAAATGAAACGTAAAAATAAATTGGAATGACTATGTTTTTGAGTTTTCTGAAACAAAATCTAAAGGTCAATAAAAAATGACCAAACATTTAAATGTTTCTTTTTTTTTTTTCATTTTTTAAAAAGGACAAATAGCACCTCCTTGTGGTTTTTACCTGATTTGTTCATAGGCTTGTTCTACTGGACTGGCACCCATGGCCAACATGATGGACCTTCTCTTGGCTGTGGAGATGGTGATGATCACCACTCGGGTCAGGATCAGGATGTTTACCTGGAAAATCAGGAAGTAAAGTCAAAAACACAAACTTGTGTCTTTAGACACATATGACCCATCACTGAGGAAAGTAGTTCAACCTAAATGAACTGGATTCTGACATGACATGTCAAGAGGACATTGTAAACACGAATGTCAAGGAGAAAAACACACGTCTAAATGATGTGTTAAGAAAACAAAACACAGATAAAATTCCTTTTTTTTTAGTCAAAACACATGTTGAGCAAGTCAAAACAAAATTCCAAGTGTTGTTAGTTTACATTCTTTGTTCCAGTTTTAACAGACAACATATGAGGTATTTATGTAGTGATTAGCTGACCATGATGATGAAGATGACGGGTCCAGCAAAACCCCAGATCACACCGTTCTGGACGCTGAGCCAACAATAGCCGTCAGCTGAGTATTTGCCCGAGGCTGATGCCAGCGTGATGGTGACGATGAGCACGGGCAGACCTAAGGTGAAGAAGAGGAGGGGCAAAAAGGAAAGACCTTCAAAAAAAATTGTTTTCCTGTAGGAGTTCTACTCACACCTGCATTTTCCCGTATCAATTATTTTGTTTTGCTTTGTAGTTGGTTGCAGTTTACAACACTGTGTTTCAACAGATAGTTGGCAGCCCCCAGAGTTTACACAAAGAGCACAGGGTCATGTAATCTTTGATTAATTACACAATTTTATTTTAAGTCATTATTATTTTATATATATTTATTCTTTACATTTTTTATTTATTGGATTTTATTTTAATTAATTTGTATTTTCATGAGGCAGGGGATATGGTAGGATGGAGACAGGTGATCTGCTGTGGTGCCTCCTTTAGGAAACAGCCAAAATAACATGGAGACAGGTGATCTGCTGTGGTGCCCCCTTTAGGAAAAAATAACAACAAAGAACTGTTTTCTATAGATATATGTTGCATATCTAGAAATAAATAGAAGAAGGTTGCTGCAAACCTTGATTACCTTGGCACTAAAAACATTGCCTACCCCTGCTTTAAAATGCTCCAGGGCAGAAGATGTTAAAAGAATATCTCTGAAAAGAACAATATGCTGTATTTACCCCAGCCAATGAGATAATAATATTTCATGTGTCGGTCCTCGCTAAGGTTGACGGCCACCACCTTGCTCCAGAGCAGCAGACCCTCCACTAGCATCCAGCAGAACGCTGCCATGAAGAAGAGATGGAGCAGTGCAGCCACAAGGGTACACGCCACCTTCAAACACACAAACACACACATGAAGAAGACAAAATATCAAAACCTGAAAGAAACAAAAAAAGAATCAACCTAATGTCTTCTGGTTTGTCTTGTTGGGATATTAGTTATCAAGTGGAAAGATTTATTGCCTATGACATTTCACAGTTTGAGGAGGTCACTTTTGTGTGGAAAATCTCTGGGCCCAAAAACCCAGTGCAAATTAGCAGGCATTCAGTGAGGGTTTGTGGGAAACCGAAAGAAATTTCACTGACAAACTCGAACGTCATGTTGAATTAAAGCCTTTGTTGTGATGTCTGATCAAAACACAAGCAGGAGTCTGGTCACAGTAACTGGTCTGACGAAAGGGATAATCGACCAGAGGAATTAATGGCAACACAAACGTGACACATTTGTCTCTTCGACTGCCAGCGAAAAGAATCCATGCGGTTTTTGTTATGGACCCGTACTGAAAACCAAAGTGACAAAAGCTCAACCACATGTTGATGGATGGTGAGAAAACAGATTGGGATGTGAACGGATTCAAACAAATACAGCTGTGTTTCGGAGCTTCCAGGTAATTAAACTCATAAAACATTGTTTTTCAACAATGTGTCCAATTGTTATAGTTTTATATTAGGAAAACAAACTAATAAATATTGTTGGGTAAAGATTTTTCTTGATAGCTGGTGTTTAAAAATCTTCTTTCTAATGACCACTCAGCCTTTGTAAAAAAAAAACATTTTTCTCAGTGATCATCTGCCCCCCAGGGGCAAAATCCATTCTCACATGACCTGGGGTCAAAGGACCAGGGGCCAAACCAACTACAGGTCATGAGTGACCACAGACTCCATTTTGGCTGATGGATATGACAGTAGTGGTCACGCATGTCACGTCAAAGGCCGTGGACTCAGGTTCCAGGTCTTATACACAGAGCTATTAATAAGACAGTGATGTGTGTTTGCACTAAAAGGTAAACAACCCTGTCAACAATAGGCACTGTTGTTAATTTGCATTAGGTAATGAGGAAATAATTAACCAGATCAGAATATTTAACAGCTGCTTGAAAAATATATAACATTAACTCTGGCCATTTTAGTCTAAATGCACTAAATAGTAATGTTTAAAATTACAATGCTAATATAAAAAAAAAATTCAAAAACATTTAATTTGACTTTTTCCTATGGTGTAACTAAAATCTAAAGACACGGAATAAAATTTTAACACCTAAAACTATATTTGCTTTCTATTTAATAAATATAAAAAATAGGAATTGTTGTTCAAACGTCCGCTGAAAGGGTTGACCTTGGTTTGTATCTCGCCAACATACAGATGTAGTGATTTATTCTGATGTGATTTGAAGTTAATCTGTGTCATCTACGTTTGAATGATTTGTTAAATACTAATGACCAGTTTTTTGTTTTTTTACAGTTTATGAATCCGAAGGAGCAGGTTGTGAAAGATGATTTTTTTATTACATTTCCTGTCCTTTACTCTGCTCAAACCAGCATGACGACTTTGTGAATTATCAAATGCCGTACCTTGTTGTGAATGGCTGAGCTGCTGCAGAGCAGAATCACCTGGGCACAGATCAGGGCGACGAACAGGTTCTTGTGAATGGACGTCCTGTCAGATTTGGGGATGCTGAGACGTGAGAGAGGGGACAATGTTAGACGTTTTTATACAGAGATGATGCGGGTTGTATTTATTTGCAGCCGAGCCTTGAGATGATTCAGATATCAGCACTACATCAGCAACAGTCACAAACATCCAAGGCTGTGAAAGAAGAGCTGGCTCTGATTAGCTTTGAGTCAATTTCCACACTTCCTCTGGTTCCTATTTTATAAAAGTGTTCACACTACATCACTTTATTTGAAACACATAATATAATTTGTACTTATTTCTGTTGTTTACTGAAAGCTGTCAAAAACATATTTCTCCATATAATTTACTTATAGGATGTATATACCATAAGTCATTCCTGAGTTTTCTGATTAAAAGATATCACGACCTCCCGGTGATTTCTGCCTCTTTAAACCATTTCATAATGGCGCTGCTGCTTTAACTGCCATAATTCAACACGCAATTACAAACATTAAAATCTCTGCTTTGTGCATGTGATCAAATAGGACGTATTTAGGCAAATAGAACCATGTACGTGCCACATCCCATGACTGAAATGCATGGCTGCGTTCTCTGATTCCAGCACGGTCATAAATCTGTGCAGCTCCTCTCTGGGCGGCTGTGATCCCTCGGTGACCCTAGTCTTAATTAACAGCTCCAGAACACTGCCATAAACCTTCAGAGTGGACTCACGTGTAGACAACAGTAATTACTGCATTAGCACTGGTCAATACCCACACGGGTCTGATGAGCAAATACGTAACAGTGCCTGTTTCTAACCTTCTCAACTCTGTATCTTTGAGGGAAAAAAAAGGGGGGGGGTTGGGCAGGACGGGGGCCCTGGGTTTGACAAGCAGATATTTTAGCATCATAAATAAATGGAACAGCAAAATTCAGCCACTCACTCCAGGACAGTGAACAGCATCAAGGTCACCACCAGTGCACACAGAGAGGCACCGGAGCCGATGAATGTCAGCTTGGTGAGAATGAGCTCTTCCTCTGGACTCCACTGGGACGGGGATGGAACACAAAGTTGTAGGAAGGAAGAGACAAAAAAAAAATGACTAAGAACATCAGAGTGAGTCATGTGAAACACAGCAGATGTCATTCTGAAGCTAAATACCAAAAAATGCTTAAGTGCTTTAATTCTTTTACAACATATGAACATATGTTGCAGAACTACAAACACAATGTGAGTGATTTAAGCACACTGTGGCTGACACCTTGTGGTTAAAATTATGTACTGCAAATTATGATCATCGCCAAGTAATCGCGGGTCAAACCAAGTCTAATTCAACACCAGCTTGTTTTAAACGTACAATAATTGCACCTATTTCTGATTTGATTTCACATGCATTTAATATTATATGCATTTCTATGTTTTTTTAATTTATTTCTGTAAAAAAAACAACCATCAGACAAGTACACACTTGTAAATAACTTAAGTCTTTGACCGTTACTTATTTGACTTTGTAGTTTTACATTCAAATACAGAGTTTTACATTTTCCCCTGGCGTAACCTCCGTATGTCACTGCGTCAGTACGCGTGATTTAAGTGACTGCATCATAAAACATCTCTCCAGTTACCTTCGGCTCCAGGTAATTCATCAACACTGCAAAATTGGTCGTGTGGTTACATAGACAGGAAGTGACACCAGAGCCAGCAAAGGTCACCCTGCATCCAGCACCGGACCAGCCATTGGTATAACTCTGCCTGCAGTGTTGAAAAGACAAGAACAGCGGGACAGAAAACAGATACTTGATCATTATTTAATCATAGAACAAAGGCAATAACCGATTTACTCCAACAATAATATTGTCATAAATATATAAACGTGTGGTGTTCTGTGAAGCTTACATCAGGCTGAAATTCCAGAAGGCACAAATTGGAGAACGTTGCTGTGAATATTCCACCTATAAACAAAAAAAAGTAATGTTTTATTTTCCATTCTTTCTGCATCTCCAATATAAAAAAACCTAATAGCCGTGTGCTTGTAGCCAAAGCTTGTTCTAAATAATGAAGTAATCGATCAATAGTGATCAGCTGTTGTTACCGTCAATGACTGCTCTCTAAATATGTAGATGTTAAATTTATTTTAGTTTTAAAAGCACCAAAATACATTATGTTATGTTAATTAATACAAATGATCTAACCTTTAATACAATATATACAGTTATATAAAACAAACATGAAAATAATATTTTATATACAGTAAACCCTTGTTTTTCGCGGGGGTTACGTTCCAAAAAGAACCCGTGATAGGCAAAATCCGTGAAGTAGAAATCTTTATTTTTTTTACAATTAAATACTATTAAAAAGAAGAGAAAGAACGAACAAACCATTTTACAGTCTCAACCATTTGTTTCACAAATAAAGTAAAATAAAAGTACTTTAGAAACGTTTCAACAGATAACTTCTTTTTTCTTCCTTCTTTATGGAACGAACGGAAGATTCATTAATTCCATAATGCCGACCTACAGCCGCATAGCTTTTAGCTTCATTTAGCATGTCCAATAGTTTTACTTTATCACCGATAGACAGCATCTTCCGCTGCCTTTTGGTCCCTACCGCAGGTACTTTTGCCGGTCCAGAGCGTTTTGTCGACATTATGGGGTTTGATAAACTCGAAATTGCAAGAGAATTTGCACGTACGTAATGTCAATTTGGCAAGCTGTTTTACGTACGTGTACATATTAAACCCCAATGTTATTGGCGCACAGGTAGAGAAGAAGCGGAGTGACTTTTTAGCCAATCAGAATGCAGAACACAATGCACGATGCAAATCCATGAAGTAGCGAAACCGTGAAAAGTAAACCGCGTTATAGCAAGGGATCACTGTATATGTATATATGTATATATATATATGTTGTATATGTATGTAGACTCTACAATACCACAGGTTTTCAACAGAGTGTTCTTCATACCACTTGTAACGTGGAGAGAGTGTACTGGACCGCCACTGGGATGGTTTCTGTCCTGGTGGGATCACGGACTGTTGCCGATATGACGGCAGAGGCCAGGAGACCTGGATCTGGAATGCTGGGGAAGAAAAATTTCCCATTTACTATAACCATGTTTAACCATGACTAATCATCAAAGGTATTTATAAACTCTTTACCAATCAGTTAAATCATTTTTCAGGCATGTTTTTTTCCTCTTTCTCTTGCTGTGTGTTGATATACACTGATGATTCTACAGTGATGTAAATGCAGCAGGGTCCAACCTTGGTGAAAAATGTTCTAACTAAGAAATAGCGCAGTCATACTTGTGAACAGAAGCGAATTCCTTACCTTTTAATATGGTAAAAATGTATTAACAAATGTAACATCAAGGCTGAATCCCAAATAAACCAGCTTATAAAAAGATGTAAAACTTCTGTAAAAAATACATTGAAAAATGTGTGGTATTTTTTGGTAACCCCTTTACTTGTCAAACATGTTCTGTTCCATCTTTTTACGAGCCGTTGGCTTTTGTCTTACTCAAGGACATTTTGGAAATTCAGGAGAAACCAGGAATCAAATCACTACCAAACTTGCACAAGGAACACTGGCTATTTTTTTTTTTTTTTGCAGAACCCATCTTCCATAAAGCCGTGAGATGATAAATAGGATAATGTAATAAACTATTTTTCCACAAGTATTTGTTTGTTCAGTTCTTAATGTGGGAACACAACGGAACACGGGATGGAAATCCAACCTTTTAACTCTCGTCTCTTGGTGACTCACTGGACTTTCCTGTCCTCCAGACATAATGTCACTCAGATGGCTGTAATGGGTGTGAATGAACACCACCTCCTCGTATCCTGATTAGATAAAGAATAAAGAGAAGCTCAGTCACTGCACTTTTACAATTAACTCAGTTGAAAATATTTACAGAAATCACATTCATATATTTCCACTTGACAGGTGCCAATATTAGATTCTAATAGATTTGTAGTTCTTACTCCAGACTCTGTGTATGTGTCTGGTATTATATTAGATTATATTGTCTAATAAATAATACATAACTGCATACAAAATAATTTAAAATAATATAATACAAAATTATTTTATATAAATACATACTTAATACATGCTAATCTATTTTTTTTAATTCTTTAATATTCATAATATATACTAACATATCGATCAAATACTGTTACAGATTTAAGTAATCACACAAGCTGAATATTTTATTTTACTTTTATTTCTAAAATGAACATTGTTGGGAGCAAATGCCAAAATATCAAATAATATACAAAAATACATAAACAAAACTGTGGTATTATATATATATATGATGTATAATGTTGAACACTGGCTAATCATCTCAGTTTCTCAGTTTCAAAACGTTTGAATTTTCCATAGGGTTTTCTGTGTCTGACTTGACAGGGTTCATTTGTGTGTATTAGTTTCCTACCCAGTGTGTGTATCCTGTGGAGCTCTGTGTCAGTGATGACCAGTTCGTCCTGAACACTGCTGCCAGTTGCATGAGAACTGAGCACCGATGGGTTGAAGACCTGACTGCCATTTTCTTCAGACAGTTTCTGCCACTTCATGTAAACATCTGAAGGAGAGGAAGAACAGGAGACACCATCAAAACACAAGCTATACTACAGTAACTTTAGGTAAAAACAAAGATACATTAAGATTTGTTTTCTTCCCAAAATAATTATTATTAGTCACTGTTTCCATGTCCTAAACAAAAGGCTGCCATAAAACAATGACAACACTTGTTACTGCAACACAGGTGAACATTATTTCAGTTCTTTTTTAACTAACACACACTTGACTTACACATGATGCATTCCTATTACAAACGCATGCCTAATCTTAATCCTTACGCTAACAATAATCTGAGCCTTATTCTAATTCAGAATCCAATTTTCTGAAACTTAAAATTTCTAAATTTGTAAAAGATGATAACATCATTTGTTCAATTTGACACTGACATAAAGTTGAGTTTTGCTTTTTGACAAAGACTGTCCTCTCAGCAGATAGCATGTCAGCAACAGCTTCAAAGAGACGGTCAACGGTCTTGATGATAGTGAATGGACCCACGCTGACCTGTGAGATAGATTCATCAATAGGCGTTAAATGTAAAAACATTATAATATCAAGATAATATAAGATTAATTTACTTACCCCATCCTCAGTCTGACCCATCCATCCTTTAGCCATACCAGGCTCCAGCAGCAAACTTGAGGTCTTCACGTAGTTTGTAGCAATAGTGACCATGACCTCCGCTGCATCCTGTCCGCTAGAATGGCCGTTAAACGCCGCTATAAGATCGGTGTCAATTCTCTGGGAGAGGTAGAGGACATCAGCAGAGGTCAGGGAGTCCGGGCCACTGGCCTCCACGGTGTGAAGAACAGCCTGAGACAGCTGCTGTAGGGAGGTCAGATCTTTCTCCCCGGAACTTCTGAAGCTCAGTTCATCCATCTCCTGAAAAAAAAAATAGTAAAAACTATTTTATGGACCTTCTGTATATTATATGTCGTCAGACGTAAGTTTGGCTCTATTCACTTTTTTATACCAGATTTTTGTTCTATCCCTGAGACTTTTTTATACCAGATTTTTGTTCTATCTTGAGAAACCCCTGAGTGTCAGTTCTACAGAGATGTGCTAAACAGGTCTGAAATAAAATACGTTTTTTTTTTCCAACTTACGGCTTTAGTCAAAGGATCCTTGCTCACTCTTTCGAAGAATGGCGTTTTTGGTAAACTGAAAATATCCACTTCTGCATAGAGGTCATACAAGACAACGTGATTTATACATTCAAATCGTATCATAAAATATTTGAAATAAAACAAACGTTACTTGTGTAACTTACTTACCTTTCTGGAGCTGGCAAACGGCTGCATTTAAGGAGTCACACCTTATCAGGCTCCAGTCGTCACTAACTGGGTCGAAGATCCCACAGCCCTCAGCAGACTGGGAGTTTTCAAACAACTCAAATGGAAATGTTTCATTCTGCAAAGAGTGTCCATCAGTGAGGGAAGGTGTCAGCACGGTGAAGTTCCCTAGTCAAGAAACAGAAGATGTTCTTTTAACACCAAGCTGGAAAGGACTGAGGACTGAGCATGATTTTTTTTTAAGATGAAACTGAGGCAAGTTACTCACAGGTCACATACTGTTTACGTTGGGGTTTTTTTTTCTTTGATATATTTTTCTGGAAATAAAACTACAGAAGTAGATTCTTGTGTTGGCTCTTGGTTCTAACTTTCATTGGTATCAAAGACTACAGGAGTGAATCTGTGCTGATTGGACAAGGTTTGTTCTACATTTTTATTTGTTTACGAATACGTCAACTAATTTAGTCATCATTTAGCCCTGGTAGAGGACTCTACCTCCTAATTAGCTCTAAGTCTCAGACCAAAGATGACAAAATTAGCGCTGCAACGGAGAGATTATGACAATTTGTTGATCTGTGACCAGTCAGAAATGTAAGGATTTCATCACTTCTGTTTATCCCAAATTAGACGGCAAATACATTCTCATACTGTAAGCTCAATTACTTTTCTTTTTCCACATTCAGTTTCATGAGCTGGAATGGGGGTTTTTGGAACTGCACTGCTCACCGGGGAGCATGATGTCAGAGCGAGAGGAGTTTCTTTGAAGGGTGGGATTCAGAATGATGTGAGCCACAAAACATTTGCACGAGCCATTAGGAGTTTGAGCATGTGCCAATTACCACATGGTCATCGTTTCCCCTGATTACAAATTGAAAAAAGACAGGAAGAAAATGTCATTTCTTTTCCCTATTTTCCTGGGTTTCATTAATCTGCTAATTTTAGAATGAAACCCCTTTTTTTTGCCTTTGTGTGTTAGAGGACATTCTCAGAGCTTCTGAGTTAAACTTCAATCAGGAACAATGATGGTGGAAAGATGGTGACTGCTTTTGACTTATATTGTGTCACCGTTGTGTCTCTGCAAAAATGCATTTCTCAGACTTTTTATCTTCTGGTTAAGAAACAACATGCTCTTCCCTCTAATCCATGGCTGCCTTGTATATAATGTTAATGTAATAGGCAGAAATTTGTACAATTATATTTTAGTCGAGTGCCAACACTACTGTGCAAAGTACAGAAAAGGACTGAATGTTTTGCGATACTATGTGGATTAAGAAGAAAAATATAATATTTTTAACATAAATGTGGACATAAGTGAGGAGACTTGGTCATATATGGTCTGTGACGTCATCTGCGCCATGAGAAATATGGTTTAAACTTCAGAAAGATCAGTGTTTCTCTACTACTCTGGGTAGAGCTTCTGTTGACCAACTGTTGTTTACAGTTTTTAATGTCTTTACTATGCAGCTGAGGTCAGTGGTTTTCTGTCACTATGTAACCTACACAAGTAATGGATATTTAGGTTTAGAGAAGGGTGGGATCCAGACAGAAGACATCTGTGATTTATTCTTTACTCGGCCTGTTTTGCCAAATGGGTGGAGTTTAACACATCAGTCCAGCTCTGATGCTGGCAAAGTTTGTGAAAAATGTGGAGTCCTCAGTGACTTTCACATGGTCTCTGTGTGATTGTTTCCCTGCACAGTGACCCCACCCAAGCCGAGAGCCAAACTAACCCAGAAAACACATTCACATGAACACAAAAATTCAAATCCTTCAAAATAACAGTGAACGCTGTGAAAATATTGAAGTTCCTCCTGATTTCTGCCCTGTGTGTATTTCTAGATGTAATTCAAGTTTTAGTCAAAACAACAGTGTCTATGCAGAATAATGACTCATTTACCTTGACAGGGGTTGTCTCTCCACAGCTCTTTGAGGGAGGAGTCTACTTCCAGGCCCTCTGCTCTCCACTGGAACACCAGCCCAGAGGAAATGAGCGAGCACTGGTTTTTCATGCTGGATATTTCACTGCTATTCAACACCCGATCCCAAATGTGTAGGTCTGTGATGCTCCCTGAGAATGACTCATTCTTCTTAAATGAGCCCCCAAAAGTGTCCTGCTCCTGTCCAATGATGAAGAGCCCATCAGGACCGATGCTGTCAGTGCTGTTCAGGCCGTCGCCTCTATAAAAAGCCAGGCCATCGGCATATAGAGCCCAGTGTCCACCAATCTGGCTCCAGGTCACGCACGTCGTGTGCCAATAACTGTCGTGCTCAAAGGCGTCCTGATAGGGCCCATGAATGCCATGCACCAGCACGGCCAGCTGCACAGTCTTGCCTTGGATCACATTTGCGCGGAGCTGGAACTCATTTATATATGACTGGATGGAATAAGAGAAAATGGTGGAAATTCCAGAGCAGTTGGGATTAAAGCGCACACGGGTGCAAACGGTCACTGAGCCCATGGAGGAGAAGTTGTGCAGGAGACGAGCGTGTTTTCTGTCCGATCGTCCACTAAATTCCAGAATCAGGATCTCGGAGGAACCTATGGTTTTCAACCCCACACAGAGACAGAAGAAAGAGGCGTTACAATAAAGGAAAAACTGGCTGGGCTGTTGGAAATGATGGAAGCCAATCATAAAATTCCAGTTTGAGGTCCAATTCTTACTGTAAACTTGGGAAATATTTATTCACTGTGGCTGAGGGAGCTTTATGACAGTATGACCCTTTTTGCTTACTCAGTAAGATGACAGAAATACAAGTGGGGCAAAACAAAAACAATGAGTCTACTGTTCAAATCGCCTCCCAAAATGTTCGACTACACAAAACATGTCAACGGACGACACATTATACCTACTTGTTAGATATGTCCGAACTTTCCCAGCAATCCACACGGGCTGAGAGATGTTCAGAGATTTTAAGAACCTGGCGAGGTTCATGTTCTCTGCTGAGTTAGCGACTGTGGCTAAGGCCCCAGAGCGTTGGTTACATAATTTTCCTGCATCGCTCCATTGACGGCGATCAGGCACATACTCATAATAGGAGTCATCGTATGTCAGCACTCTGGTCTCCAAAGTAAATGCTGTTCAAAGAAGAACGGAGAAGGCATTAATGAAGTATTTGCTTTCAGACACAGTGACACAAAGTCTGGACTGTGGGTTTGATGTGTAATATTTTAATTCTCGTACGTTCTCATCGGATACCAAATCCTTAGTAAATCACCTGAGAAAACTAGACCAAAGTTGTTTTTTTTGCCACATTTTACTGTGAAACTGAGACTGAGGATATTCAGAAAATAACTGAAATCCAAACTCCAAACCCGCAGTCGGCCAAATATTGAGGTTTTCCGAACCTTTTCTCTTCACCTATTAAAGCCCAGTCTATTTCCAATAAACACTGACATCTGTCTTACACTCAAGGTCAAGTTAACATCTAAATATGGAACGCCTCTATTTTCCCAGAAATCTTGAAAAAAATACAAAATTGCTGTGCATTTCCACTCAATTACTCAGGTTGGCTACTCAAGGAAAACAGCATTTGTGTGTGCGTGAGAGAGAGTGAGAGACAGTGTATGTGTGTGAATTCATTTATTTTTGACCTCTTCAGCACTTCTTTATGACATAAAGCTGACTTTGTAAAAGCACCAGTGATTCCCTTACAGACCAAAGCCTGTTCTTAATGAAGTTTAGCCTAATTTCTAAGGTTGTGTTTGATGTACTATAGGTTTTTCAGAAGGCACTTGTGGTTTGCTCAAGGCTAAGGAGGCATCGGTTTGAATGCACCAAAGCAAAAGTCTGGCCCGAGGCTGAAGTTAAAGGACAAAACATAACCCTACAGCAGAAGTAAACACAACTAGTAAATCATTTAAAACCAAGCTGCAGCAGTGACTTTTAAACTTGGAAACAGTGAACACAATACGTTAACTACTATTAATGCTAAATTAATGTAATTAATTAATTAGTAATATCCTAATTTCCCAGCCTGGGATCAATAAAGTACATCTATTTACTGTAACAATGCTTCATTTTGTGATCTTATACCGTCATTATAAATGTCACATTTATCCATGTGTCTTCTACTTATTTTTTTTTTTCAGATTTGCAATAGAGCTGGGTCAAATTCTAGACAAAGACCACATACACCCTGGTCTTTGTCATTCATAACAATGGACGATTTAGAGTGTAAAATTAACCTAATCTGTATGTTGTTGAACCAACCAAAAAAAAAAACCCAAAAACAAATAGAGCTGGGGCTTGAACCAGCGATCTTTTTGCTGTAAGGCAGAGCACGTAACCACCCTTATCACGTGGTCTCTAAGGAATTTCAGAAAGTTCCATTTTTGTTTTACATTTTAGAAGAGTTTTATGCAAATACTTTACTGCATCAAAATGTAGTACAGAATGCAGATTATCAAAAACAAGCATTCATTTTGAAGCATATGGTCATCAGGTTTTTGTCATTGCTTTACTGCTTACAGACAACGTCACTGACCAGTAAATAAATATTGTGACTAAAAACAAATGTTTAAGAATACATGAATGCAACACTATATATCAACTGAGATTGATTTAAGTAGCTAAGCTAGGCTTCACTTATTCATGTCAATAATCAAGTTCACCTAAAATGTAAAATAAAATGACTTACCTGAAAAGCATGGATGAAAATAAACCTGAAAGAGAAATTTAAATTGACTTAATATCTGAGGCAACTTTGATATAGCTCATCAAACAAGAGTCATAACTGAAATCAGGCCACAAATACTTGATGGTTATTAAAGATATTTTTTTAACTTTGGCTCATAAACACGGTTATTAAAGATATTGTTTTAACTTTGAAGAAAACCTAACTAAGAAAACCTTAGTAGAAGTTCTTCTACTGGAAGTGGGACACAAACAATCATTGTGTGAGTAAATCAGTTTAAAAAATCCACAAACAATCATTCTGTGAGTAAATCAGTTTAAAAAATCATTTAGTCCAAGTTGGTGGATTTGTCAATTGAAACGGCTGCCAATGTAGTGAGATGAAAGGGAGGAGTGGAAGTAAAGCAAAACGTCTTATCAATTCTGGTTAAAAAAAAAAAAAAAAGAGTTCATATTGCTGCCAGTTGGTGACTGGTTACCATAGCAACTCAGCATTGACAACCAGCCACTAGTAGCTCATCCAATAGTGGTCACTGGCATGAGGTAAAGCGTGAGATTTTTTACCAGAAACACAAACAAAACAAAACACAGAGAAATTCACGAGGTGAAGAGCTGGACAGTAATAACTCTCTCCTCCAACTGCATGTGGCGCAGAATTATCAGGACATATGTTGACAACAGTGTGAACATTATCAACATCAGCAACAGTAATGTGTCACTGTTGGGTGCAGCGGTTTGACGGCTCAAGATCTAAAGAAGATCGATGTTAGAAAAAGAGTAATTATTAGTTGCTTAAAAAGTTAAATTAAGAACATTTAGAAGTAATTTAACTTTATCCTGTTGTATCTCAATTGAATCCACTGACCCAGAGTGTATATGACCCCACTTAAAATACGAGAAAAAAAGAAAGAATTATAGAAACACAGAATCTTTAGGAACTCTGTCTATAAAAAAAATGTGGCTTAGAAACACAGGATCAATTAAATGTACTTACCAACAGGCCTATAAACAACAGACTGGACATCCTGGGTCAACAGAAACACTGGCATTAGTTGGTAAACAGGTCCTCTTTCTTCATAAAGTTATTTCTAACTTGTGGTCAAAGTTACAAAGTAAATAAATAAAAGCATTTACATGTCGTCGTTTTAGAGCTACCCCTGCGAGTCTTCTCATTCCAGTGGCCTGGTGTCAGTGAAGGCAGCATTAAGCCCTGGTTCTGTTTGTGTTTTCTTCTCAGCTGTGCTCCGTCTGTCTGTCACTGAAGCACAAGAGGAACAGTGGTAGTAGCTGGCTGACTTCTGAGAGCGTGGAGGGATGAGGAGGAGGAGGCGGCTGCAGGGAGAGGAGGAGTGGGTGTAACCGGCTAAAGATTTGGTTATCAAAACTGGGGCTCAAGGACCCCTAGAGGCCTCCGAGTGTGAGCCACTGGACTCAGTCCATTTAGAGAGGACTGTGCAGTGATGTCATTCACCAGGGGACGTCGGACCATCCATCACTGGTAGTCAGGACTGCAGCCAACTGTAGAGGGAGAACAAACAGGAGGTTTTTTTTTAGATGAAGTTGCATTGAGTAGAAACTTGGAATTATACTGCAATTGGCAAGATTTACCTTTAATCTTCATTAAGGTCTTTGTTTTTTACAGCTAGGGCTGGAAAGATATTTTTACCATTAACCAGAAAATCCATTTCAGATGGGAGTGTTTTAAGCAAATCATACTGTAAACAGAATGAAGTTGGACACCTTTGATTCGCTGTAGTGATTCACAGTGGTTGAGTCATCACAAAACAGATTAAACACGAGTCAGAAAATTATCTTTACGTAAATGGACAAAGGAAAAAGTCACACTTTAATATTGTTACAACCATGCATCAGTGTTTTTTAAATTACATTTTATTAAAAAAAACAAGAGGCCATCTTCTGTAAACCTCCTTATATTATAGCTCACTTTGTAGTTATAGAGAATTTTCTCAAAGAAAAAAAAACCCAACAAATCTGTCAAAGTAAAATACAGGTAAAACTTTTCTTTTCTAAATGATTAAATTATCTGAAGTGAGAATGTAATTGTAGAGAAGTGTCCTCGCAGTGTGGGCAGATGCTGGAGAGCTGAACAGGTGAGAGGCGTCTGAGTTCCTTACCTTACTGTGTGTGTTTTGATTCGGTCAGTAAGTGTAAACCGACTGCCGTCTTAGCGCCAAAGATGGGTTGGTGGGATATCAGTGTAACTGGCAAACATTTACTTTTGATTTTTAAGCACTAATCAATACTTTGCCAGCAGTAGGAGCCTCGGTTGAATTCCTGAGATGCTTGATTCACCTTGATCATTTTTGTCCATATTTAAAAAGAAAACGTTAGTTTAACACCACTGGTACATTTGTTTTGGCTCCTTTGCAGTATGAACGAACTACGAGTATTTTTTTCTGTGTGTGCAAAGAGTGTGTTTATTGAAAAGTACACCACAATAATGAAGGCTTAGATTTTGGATAAGTCAAGCCTTGTGAAGTTACTGCAGTAGTACACGTTTCAGTATTATAAACTGATATATAAAGTATCAGGAGTAGTAAAATGGTGTTAAGTGCATAAAAGTGTACTGACGTCTCATCTGTTTGTATCGAACAGAGTACAGTATTAAACAACATTCAAGAGCAAAGCTTTGTGAATATGACGACATGGATAATTCAAAGATATTGTAGCCTGAGAGGAAAAAATGTTTATCAATGAAGATCTGTCTCAAAGTTATAAGTTAGGATTTCTAACCAACTTGAATACACATTTGTAATCAGACCTGCTAAAGACGCTGCAGTACATCGCTACAACTGAGTACTGCATTTACATCAGATATTACATCAACACTGTCTGCTGCCTGTAATGTGAGATTTTAATTATGGGGTCAGATGGAAAAACAGACAAAAATGCAGAATATCCACTGGTAGGAACCAGCAGGCTGCTCAGTTCTACATATCAGCAGTTTGGGTTTTACACTAAATCTCATATGATGGGGAAAGAATAAAGTTAAATATATCAGTACCTTACACCCAGTGTGGGCTCCCTTTGGCTGTCAAACCCGGGGTCAGAGTGTAGACCACTTTACTCACCACTCTATTTCTGACAGTGCTGTGATTGGAAACACTCTCTTTGGGACAAATGTCATTTTCTGTGCTCTTATCAGAAGCAACAGAGTTTCTGTCCTCTCCTGCGTCCTGCTTCTTCCAGGGGGAGCACAGGGACTGC